GACTGTATTTCACATAAGAAAAGGCATTAAATGCTAAAGATCTGTTGAAATGAAAGTGTAGTACAGAAGTGAAAAGTGCATTTAAGACAATCGGAAGAAAATCCTTGAAAAGGGGGACACCCGGGGGAACAGATTTCGCGGGGGACAAATCTTTATATGTGGGATTGTCCCCCTTATGGGGGGACATCTGGCAACCCTGATTTCAAATGAAATTTTGCGGTTGCAACGTATGAAAAAATTAGAAACTCTTCGTTGCATAAACGAAGAATAAAAACGATAGGAAGAATAGGAACTATAAGAACATCAGGAGCAATAGAAACACAATCTCGAATTTCGTTCGTACACATAAAAGTCAAGAGTTCAATACATCTATGGCTTAGATGCTGCTTGCACAACGTAGGGAGATGAAGAGTGAGTGCGGTAAGAAATTTCACGATTTCCCATTTCCTAGCTTCCTAATGTTCCTGTAGTTTCTATACTTCATATAGTTTTTATGCTTCTTTATACAACGCAAAGTTCCTAATTCTAATAATAATAGTAGATAAAGAACTAAGAAACCTAAAAAGACTGAAGTCTAGTTCGTTTTATGTGCGATTGCGTTTGTACAGATGGCTTGATTTTATTATTATTTGTTCAAATTTACATTGTAATAAGAGTTAAAAAAACAACAAAAATTCCTGTTCGATGCAGAAAACAGAGGAAGATGCAGATCGAGTGAAAATGATTGCATTTATAAATATGAAATCTGGTGGTCTACAAGGACAACAGGTTTTCGACGCATTAGTAGCAAAACTTGGCGAACAAAATGTTTATGATCTCATTAAAGACCACGGGCCTGAAATAGGACTCAAACAGAACAGGCATCAAAAAAATTTACGTATTATTGGTATGTCGAATGTTCGTTTCTCAAAACAAATGATAGTTCAGAGCTTTACTTGAATTCGTTTAATAAAAACTCCCAAACTCACAACTAGCAAGTCTTTCGCATGGATTCTGAGATTCTAGATCCTTTACAGAATTAATCAGTACCCTTCGAAACCAACAGAGTTTTTGTAGAACTACAGGGTATTGAATAGAATTTTTAGTACGATAATGCTACAGTTACAGACTATTTCACTTTTTTTTCTGAATGTAGAAAATTCAAATTCCTTCAGAAAACAAAAAACCCACAAAATCATCCCGAGTACTTTGAATGCGGTAAAATGCCGTATAACTGACGAGGGAAGTCGCAAGTGTTCCGTCGCTTTTTGACTGAAACATAAGTTGACGTAAGTAATCAATAATGCTGATTCCGAATATCGCAGTCGAGAGGGTTTACAGGCCTTCAGACACCGGTTTCTAGAAAACCAGATCTGCATCCGAAACCGTTTTTTGGCCAGAATTCACTTTTGCCTATGCCAGCTTGTAACTCGGCTTGTTCAGCTAACGGCCTTCATTTTTTGCTCTTTGCCAAAAAGTTGTTGCAGTAAAGTCACAAACTAATCTAAAATTGCAACTAGATAATTAAGTAGACTAAACATTTTGTCGACTAACGAATCGAACGATTGAACGAATCAACGTTCAGAGCTGAGACACTTTTCATTATGTTTAATCTGCTTAATTATCTAGTTGCTATTTAGATTAGTTTGTAGCTTCACTGCAATAACGTTTTGAAAAAGAGCAAAAAATGGAGGCCATTAGCTGAACAAGCCGGAGAGCACGTCGAGTTGCCAATGTGAAAAAAATCTTTCCTTACTATCAGATAAATTATAATAAGAGTTTTAGGGATTCGACTGTTTTCATTTCCTTATCAACAGCCATGCTATTTCATTCCTTTGTTTTCTGTTATTCTGCGAATATTCGCCCTTTTTCTACCATCTTTCTAATTTCAGGCAGTATATAATTTAGATCGCCTTTAACTCACTGATAAACTTATCTGATAGTAATGCAAGATTTGTTCACATAGGTAACTCGACATGCTCTACAAGCTGGCACAGTCAAACTGAATTCTTGCCAAACAACGACTTTAGATGAAAATCTGGTTTTCTAGAAACCGGTCTCTAAAGACATGTATGGCTTCTCGACTACGATATTCGGAATCAGGATTATCGATTACTTATGCGAATTAATGTTTCAGTCAGAAAGCGGTGGGACACTTTGGCACTTCCCCCGTGAGTTTCGGAGTCAATCAGTTCATATTGAGTATGCACTCTTATCATCAGACTTACAATTAGACAAACACCATCATTATTCAAAATGTCTCGATTTAGACAGTCTCTTTATAATCATTTTTAGGTCAACTTCGCTTTCTGGTGTATCTATGTTTTTTTAGCGTGTGGGGGCGACGGTACTGTTGGATGGATACTTGCAGCATTGGACAAGGCGAATATGCAATATCGCGATTTAGTTAGTGTTGGAATTATACCGCTGGGCACTGGCAATGATATGGTGAGAAACGCGTTCCATTCAGCTCATTCATGGTGCAATAAAGATTGTTTGCATTATATTATTTGAAGGCAAGATTTTTAGGTATGGGTAGAGGTTATCAAGGAGAAAATTTAGTACCAGTTATGCGTGCATTGACCGAAGAGTCAACAAGACTATTAGATCGATGGTCAATTGATGTTGAACCAACATCATTCACTGGAGATACGAATATTAAATTGCCACAACCAGTATTCAATAATTATATGAGCTTTGGCGCTGATGCACAGATCGGTAAGAAATTATAGAGAAAATATTGCTTTTTCTGACTTTAAGGTTCAGCTAATGCAAACTTACAGTGGAATTCATTTTTGACTTTATTATACGTATTCAGATTCAGTTTAACGAGCTGATTACGAATAACATCTTCCGAGCCTCCAAAAGTCATTTCTTCGTGGA